ATATAAAACTGTTAAGCTGTTTGGAAACAATTATTACCTACAGCGAATTTATATTACGGTCAAGAGAACAATGCATATTTATTGAGTGAATTGAATAAATATTACTAAAAACCTGTTTTAACTGCCTCGGTCACAAATGACCCCGGGTTCCGATCACTGGGTTGAATAAAAAGAGACAACGTTTTCGAAAATTATTCACAGAGTCTAGTATATAATAACAAGATAGTGTAACATAACATCACGGCTTTTATCCCCGAAGGGGTAGCCTTCCATATACCGGACACAACATACTTTGCCCGACGCGGGAATCGAACCCGAGTCCCTTTGCCTGGCAGTCTCACTTCCAACCCCTCAGCCAACGAGGCAGTCAAGTCTAATAACAAGATGTCGTCCCGTATTACATTTGACTCATGGTAACTGTTAGAAAGAAATATGCTTCTTGTGCTATATTGATCATTTCTTTTGTCTATTCTAGATAGTTATCCAGTAGCTAAAATATCTTGATCTTTAGTAAACAGAGAGTATAGTTCCCTAAGATCGGAAAAGGAGGATCCTCTGACCAGGCGAGGTGATCATGCCTGACGGGCTTTCTGCCCAACAGTTGCCGTCGAGTCTTCTCTGCGTCCCCGGCTGGGGGCGCAAGGTCGAGCGATCCAAACCGATGCCTGTTTCGGCGTATGCACTCGTTGCCTGCTACAGCAGGCGAGGGGTTGGATGAGCCGCACTCTAGCCGGGCAAGCCTAGCGAGCAACAGTTATTCATTGGGTTTCACTATCCGTATTAAGTCGCATGTAAACTTCACATGAGCGATGTAGAATTTTGTGACGCCATCCGTTGATTTGTTTTCATCTATGTGCGTGAGCTGTAACTTCCATATAGAGGTAGAATTGTCGTCGTCACAGTGGCCCGCAGGTTCAAGACGCCCGCTTCTCATGCACGAGGCTATCGGTACGAAATCTACCAACGGCAAAGTACCAATGTGACTATTTCCGAGTTATAGGTACTTTCTAAGATTATTTAGACACCACTGACAAACGATGGAGGAAAACATCGTGAGGAAACCTGGGCTTATAATTTCTAATTATAAGTTTGAATTCATCATTAATGCTTAAACCTTCTCCGTTTAAGAACAGGCTTTTGGTCAGTAGTGTCCGATTATAGGTTGTTAATTAATTTGACAATGCCTTGATCGTTATCAACAACAGTCGGTAGTTGGACTGCACGGTTGGTGCGGTGGCTGGCAACTGGCTGCCGTGCAACGTGTCGCGGGTTCGTCTCCACACGGAACAACACTTTGTGTGATCCACAGATTGTTGTTTCGGGTCTGGGTGTCATTATGTATGTGAACTTGTATGTTTGTAAACGGTAAACGCACCCACGACACAGGAGATAATCCTAGTGTGGGGCAACGTCTTTTTTTTTAAAGTTGTCTAATGCTGGTCACAGTTCTCCCTCTTAGTTCTCCACGTCAAATGACAACTCGACACCTATATTCACTGCCGTGATAAAACTGTCTAAAACAAAACCAAAAAGTATTGACATCAACACAAAAACTACATTAACCTACAGCCTTTCTAATCTATACTAATATTATAAAGAGGAAAGATTTGTACCTATTTTTGTATGTTTGTAATGAATAGGCTCAAAAAGTACTGGGCCGATTTAAAAATTCTTTCACCAATGGAATGCTACATTCTTCCAATTTGACATAGGCTACGTTTCATTTTGAAAAAAATTAGGGATCCTTGGTAAAATTTGAACAATGTAACCGAAGATGCAGAAAAATGAGTCATAAAATGTGTTTCGTCGAATGCGCTGCCGAAACTATTAGCGATAGAACAAAATAATGTACAACAATAGTGAAGAACAATGTTGTAATATTTACAACAATTAATGCCTACAAAAAACTCCCCGATAGCGTATGTCCAACTATTGTAGTTATTGCACTACAACTATCCAAATTTCCAAAAATAAATAATTGTCTACCCTGTGCGAAGCCGGGACGGGCTGCTAGTCACAATATAAAAGGACATAAGCCAAGCCAGAAATGGACAAACAAACTCGAATAAGTTTAGTCCAACCTCAAGGTCACGGATAGGTCACTAGGGAGTGATCCGCATAGTTTCCACCCAATAATAGATCTAGTGAGGAGAGTTCGAAAAGTTGGATGGGAAAATAATGACATAAGGATGGTAGTTTGTCTTCTGGGTATGCTACAGAGAATTTATTTGGCCGTAGTTTTATTTGAGAATGTATAAAGTAATTGGATGTTGATGTGTGTTCAAAGTGTGTTAAGATTTTGATTGTATGTGGTTAGTAGTTGTAATTAGAGTTGAGTCTAATTCTATGTCAAAGTTACACATTATTTTGAAATCTTCAGTTACTTCCAAACCTTTATATTAAAACTTTCGTGAGACGTACTTAATAAATGATTATGTTTTCAGCTTACCCACGTAACTGTTTGATGAGGAACTTGAATAGTTTGAACATTTACGCCGCTGGCGAACGAGTCTAACGTTTCAGCGGTGCATCGCGCGGCGCCGCCACAGATTGAGTGGCGTATGGCATTAAGATCGCCGTCGCCGATATCACGAGTGCAGGAAAGTGCGCTTGAATCACGGCAGAGGGCGTGCTGGGCCCGCAGACTCGAGTAGCCAGTAGCAGCGTGACAGTCGCCGCGTCGCGTGTCGCGGAATGCTGATCATGGATATGAGCCTCTAGCAGGCCTCATCCAATCAATTCCAGATAAGTCGGTTGAGAGACCACGTTATTACCCGACTTCAAAAAAGACGGAGATCCTCAGTTTCATCTGGATGTATGTATCTATATTTGTGTGCGATTATCTCGCGACTAAAGATATAGATAAAGATAAAGATCGTTTTATTTGCCAAAACATAATACATGCAAAAATGAATGTTTACTATAGATGTACAGTATTGTTTGTATCAACGTGCTTAACCATGTCTGGTGTACGAATATTAATTAATTTTGCAATAAATCTATAAGTAAAGTCAAGATGCACTAATAATGTCAATAACAATGAAATAATAAAATCAATAGAAATAAGTCATAACAAACAAACAGAATAGAATAATTACATATTATTTATTTATTTACACTTTTTGTATATGTACAATGGCGGACTTAATGCCTAGTGGCATTCTCTAACAGTCAACCTTAGGGTGATGCAGAGAGACACAATAGTAGGTGCAAACGTTTATTATTGTTAAGTGTTACAATTTAACTCGTTGAGTACCGTCATTATAGATACAATTATAGAACAATAGGTTGCGGTCACCGATGACCGCTTGGTGTTTGACAGTTTAAACTGTCAAATACCAAGCGGTCACTACAAAACCGGTACTCGACGAGTTAAATATCATTACATTCAATCATTCAAATACATTTATCACTAAGAAATTCATTAACATTATAATAACACTTTTTAATTTGGGTATTTTTAAAAGTTGTTTTTTGACTGCCTCTTTGGCCGAGTGGTCGCAAGTGCGACTGCCGGGCAATGGGTCTCGGGTTCGATTCCCGGGTTGGGCAAAGTATTATTTATTTATTTATTTATTTCAACTTTATACAACAAGTGTGTACAGGTGGACTTAATGCCTTGGGCATTGTCTCCCAGTCAACCTTTAAGCAGTGCAGAGATGAAAGTAGCAGGTGATTT